ACAGAGATGCCGCTTTAAGCAGTGCTCTCTGCAAGTCTCCGGGTGATGTGCGCGTGAGGTCAATGGGTGTCTTGGGGCGTCCCACGATGTGGTACGTGTGCGACGGCAGTCTTGGCAAGGGATGGCGTTTCAGTTCCGGCGGCGGCCGGGGGGGTGGTGGAGTTTTGGGGGCTTTGCTTACTTGCGCGTCGTTCATTTGGGCTTGTTGCTTAAGTGCCTGGTGACGTTTCGCCTGGGCTCGGAAACCTTGAGGTGGTGTCCAGGAATCGTCTGACCATTCTTCGAGAGAGATTTCGACGCCGTCGACCTCGATTTCCATGTCGGCTAGTGTCCCAGCGGCCGCGACAGCGGCGTTCGGTGTAGCGTCGCTAGGCTTAGGCGTCCAGTGGCGGATCTTGCCGGCGTGGCGTGAAAAGATGAAAAGCTTACTTGAAAATTGTGACCAATATCTGTCGGAAAGTTGTATCCTCGGGACCGGTATGATTTGCAGAAACCATTCGTACAAGAAATCTTGAGCTATGGCACGTCTTCCTACTGAAACATCGGAAAACTCCGGAGCTCGGTGCAGACGCGTCCGATCGCGTCGATTCTGAGCAGCGCTCTCCCAGCACACGGGAGTAACGTGCGCTTTCGTTCCGCGAATCACTCATCGGGAGATATGCTCTCCCCGTCCATCATTACTTGCTTGTCGAACGCGTGGCCACTCGCCCCCGACGAACGCCAGTTGGCGCGCGTCCGTGTGGCGCTGACTCGGCTCGGCGTATAGGCCTACCTCAAGCATGGTGTCGTCGGCACAAAAAGTCTCGTGAAATGACGAAAAGTTCACCCACCACAGAAAATTGATGTAGCCTTGTTCTCCTTGATGTTATGCGTTGATCGATGTAATCCATTCAATAACACACATTGATTAACTGGCGGAAACAGATGTTGAGAGCGGGAGCCGACACTTTCCTTCCTCACTATTCGGCGCCTCCCTTCAGGTCAACAATTAGGGGAAGCAACCAGACCATCATAACAAGTGAAATAAATAGTTTGACACCTCGGCCTAGTGATTGCGACATCAACTGCACGCGTGTGACATATTTTACTATTACAGCGATGATGTAAGTGTTGAAATTTCAATGTGTTCACTATAGACGACAAATAAAATGCATCCAACATCACTTTACTGATAACTCTAGTCACATATAATGAATTCAGGTGCTCGTAATATGTGAACAACCAGACCATTTAATGATGACTTAGCGAACTCATCCGCCGTTTCATTGAAGAAGTCCCTTATGCCCTGGTACCCAAACCAATTTAACCAACTGTACATACGGTGGAACTAATGCTTAGAAAGTACTCAGCACGTGGGAGTTCTCATTTGCAGTAAGAGAAAAACACGCCGACAGTGAATCAGTTAAACTTATGATCTAAGTTTTTGATGCATGCTAATTTGTGGAGAGCTAGGATTATCGCAAAAAACGCTGCTGGGCACAGAACCTGAAATGAGTAGAGAAATCGACCTATCTAGAATAGGAGCGAATATCCCAATTCCACATTTTCTTTCATTTTGCAAAGCATTCGTCGCAATCACTGCCTTTCTTCGTGAATAAACCAAATAATCGCTCAGAATAGAATTTCAAATGCCGTCTAACATTAGTTTTGCTTGTTTTGAAAAAAAAAAAGTGGTCGAACTGTATTTTGAAAGAGCTGTTGCTATCACTCACCAGATATAAGGCACTAATATAGACATTTAAGTAGTCAAGAAAGCTAGTATATGGACAACTTGAGGCGTGTAAAATCTATAGGCCAATGTGCATCCATAGGCGTATCAGCCGGGAGCAACGGGGGTGCGAGCCCCTAACTAAAAAAAAGTTGGGGAGAAAAGCTGAGCCCCCGCCCCTTCCTCCCGACAGTGGTCACCCTTGGCTGCAAGCTTGGGAAACCAACAAGTGAAGATTTCCGTCCCAACAGTATTTACTCAATTAAGTTCTTACAGGAGAATGAAAATATTACGGGACAATGTTACAGCATAGTGAAATTTCGCCAACATTTCTGCTGTGACGATTTTTCTTGTAGGGTCTTTGCGGCGCTGGTCGGCTATGCGACGATTTTGTGACTTGTGCTGTACAGCATTGCAGAGCAGGCAAGTGCTGAACACGGGCCCTATAATATTGCATCACTTGTTCATGCTTTCATTCTGCTGTGACTTGTTGATGCAGTTATGGATGGACAAGCTGGCGCTGTGTGCGTGACAAAGATTGTTTACATCAATCATATACAGCTAAAGACCATTTCGAAATGAAGAAACGAGGGATAGTTTAACGTTATAATCCCCGCATTTTGTTCTTTCAAAAGAAAATTTTGTTTACCCCGTTAATTGTAATGGCCTATTTATGCAGGTGCTTGGGGGCCCCTTCCGAAATGTTAATGTATACAAATAGAATGAGTGTAAACAATGTAGTATGCTTCTCACATCACAAATTATACATTTTTAGAGAAAAGGGTTGAGAAGTTCATAATAAGTTAGTAACAGTAATAAAACAATATCAATAATAATAATAATTGCACTTTCCAGAAACAGTGTTCAGACTATTAGCAAACAAGGCAAATTATAATACACACAAGCCTCAATATATGCAAAAAAGTGTAATACTTATTACGAAAAAATATAGCAGCAATCACTCGTTTAAAAAAAATTTGATTCTTCTGTAGGAAATCGGCCTATAACACGAAAGCAAAATGCGCCTTTGCAGGTGACAATAAATACTTAATGTAGATTCATAAAAGAGGGTTTCCCAAATGTATGTCTTAATATTTGGCAGCTCTAACCCCGTTCAACGTGGACATATACTCATTAGCGCTTGGTACATTGATAATAAATGCGAAGTATTTCTTGGGAAACTTCGGCAACTTTAGCGTATCAACTAATCAATCAATCAGTCAGTCAATGAATCTATCTATCAATCAATCTATCGAGCCGCCTACGACTTTTAGCTTTCCTGACCATCTCGACTATGATGTCAATACCAAAATTGGTATGGCATAACATGACTGTGTGACAAACATAGTTGACTAGTCCTAACATTGAAATCATGAATTGCATGTCATGATTGTCATGATTTAAGTTTCATGGTCTTGCTGATCTTGCGGTGGTTTCGTTCACATGAAATTTTGCAGAACTGATATGGTTTACGACATGACTGCATGGCGAACATAAGTGACAGACCCAAACGTGGAAATCATGACATGCGCATGTCATGATTTTCATGTTATGACTAGTCATGTCTATACGCCACGCTCATGGTTTGCTCGCGATCGTTTCGCTTGCTTCGCATATACCAAATTGAGTATTACAGGACGTGAATGGATGAAGGTACATGACTTGTGCAAACATGATAATGATACACGTGTCATTTAGAACATGACTACATGCTACGCTCATAGCGTGCTTGCGGCCATCTCACTAACTACACTTATACCAAATTCGGTATCAGGTGACATGAATAGACGACGAACGTGATTGACACGTCCAGGCATGATAATTATGATATGTGTGTTCTATGTAAAGCATGACTACATGCTACACTCATAGCGCGGTCGCAGCCGTTTCGCTAGCTCCACATACAGGGTGTTTCAGCTAAAAAAACACCAAGCAATAAAAAAATGAAAAATGAGTGCTACACGTATTGTTCTTACCACAGCACAGTATTGTTGTTAGCTGTTTGTAGCACGTCAGAAAATTTCTTTGATCCGCCAAGCATGGTATTTAACAAAGATTGCTTAATGTACCTATTAAATACTGACTCTAGAGAAAAAAAATCAATACAAGACTTGCAGCTCTTATACAGAAATAACAAATTTTCAAGTTACGGTAAGGTAACAACACTGATTTATTTTTTCCATGGTTTGTTTTAAATGCGCGAAGTTAAAAAAATACCACGCGATTGCCGCATAACGCGCGGCGCTTTGAGTGCCCTCAAATGTAAGTCGAACAAATTAACGAAGCCTTCTCACGGCCGGGCTACACAGCACCTGCGCGCACTTTATTGCTTATGGCCTTCTCACCCGTCGTGAATACAATGGGAGAGTTTATAAGTATGTTTCGCCACCCGTCGGCGGCAGGGGTGCAGTGACCCTGACCTTGCATCTTCTGCGCCGCGCACACCGCACAAGGAAGTTACTTGATGTGAAACCATGGAATGGGGTTTCTCGATGAAGACGGGCAGTATTGAAGAAATTAGGGATAGAGGGAGGATGTTCTACTAATAACTAGTATTACCAGACGGCTTGCCGCGTAATGTAATGTGTATGTGCTCGTAGATAATACAAGCTGAAACTCAAAAATGCGGAAGAATCGGCTAATGAGAGGCGTGATTCTGGAGGCATAGAGAACGTGCAACGATCAGAGAAAAAGATAAACAATTCTTCACCTGTTATGCAAGCAGAGATCACCATATATATATATATATATATATATATATATATATATATATATATATATATATATATATATGACGTAAGAAGGTAGCGACGGTTGGTAGAAGCAGAGGAGGAAGAAGTAGAGAATAGAATAAACATGGAGTATGAGCCAGGCCACGTCTCCCATTCATCATAGCGTCACACGAGCCGACAGGATGAAGACCTGGCGGCCACTTCATCAACCAGCCACCATCTCCGAACGTCTCAGCATAACGCAGTGACCAAACGTGGACCACGAAAGCACATCCCAGCACTACACCAAGACCAGCATTATGACAACACCATCAGACGACCTTCCAAACCCCAAGTACACCGGAGCAGCGGACGATGGACCTGTACAGGACTGGTTCGACCTGTTTGAGCACCACGCAACCACTGCATCATGGTCGGAACGGGAAATGATCACCAACTTCACCGACTACTGTGTACGAGACGATATCATGGGTCGAACAACGTTTATTGCCTATAGTGACGAGTTTAAGTAGGCCAGGCGGGTGACGTCACGCTTACGTAGGAGCGACAGCTTGCGCTCGCTATCGCGGCCGTGCCAATGGGGTTACATCTTCCTTTCCTTGGGGCAATATAGGTCGCTCTGGCATGGGGTACCGACGAGGCTCGCGACGTTCCCGAGTGCTTCTCCGTGGTAGTGGCGGCTCTGGAACGGGACCCGAGCCTGGCAAGCCTGAGGAAGGTGTTGTGGTAGTGTCGGGGCATGGTAGCTCTGGAACCTCCCGGAGATGTTCCCGTGTGCGTCGCATTTCTCGGCCATCTTCTGTTTTTACCAGTACGGAGCGTGGAGCTCCCGCTGATCCCAGCACAACGACCGGGGACCACGTCCGTGTGTGCGTGTCGTACAACGAGGCCCTCTGACCCGGTGAGAGGGCGCGCAGGTCCCGAGCACCTCGATTGTAGTAGACCTTCTGCTTGTGGCGAATCTCCTGGAGACGGGAGTGCACCTTCCTATTGGGCAATGGTGCCGGCTTCAGGTGGCAGGATGGAACCGGGAGCAGTGTTCTCGTTTGTCGACCCATCAGCCTCTGCACAGGTGACATCAGAATAGCATCACGTGGAGTATTGCGCAACTCAAGCAGAGCTAAATGGAAGTCTGGGCTGTTATACGAGCACTTCTTCAGCAGCGTTTTCGCTTCTTGAACTGCCCTTTCAGCCATGCCATTTGCGCGAGGGCGATAAGGGCTTGACGTCACGTGGGTGACTCCTAGTTCATGCAGAAATTCACGGAACTCTTGGCTACTAAAAGGGGGCCCGTTGTCACTACAGAGCTTCACTGGTAAGCCGTGGACAGAGAAAACTTTCGCGCACCACTCCTTCAAGTGCCGGGCTGTTGTGTATCGAAACTCCTTTATTTCAAAATAAAAGGAGTAGAAGTCTACAATTAAGGCAAACTCTTTACCACCGTGATGGAATAAGTCCATGCCAACCATTTCCCATGGCAGACTGGGGACATCATGCGACAGTAGAGGCATCTTAGTGTTTTGCTTTTGGTGAGCCTGGCAAACTTTGCATGATGCTGCAACCTGGTCAATGTCACTCGACATGGATGGCCAAAACATGACACTCCTAGCCCGAATTTTCATCTTTTCCGCCCCCGAGTGGGCCAGATGAAGAAGCCGAAGGATTTCAGCTCTCTTAGTGCTTGGTATGGTTACCTTGCTGCTGCGAAAGACGAGGCCATCTTGTGTATGCATCTCTTCTCGATACGCCCAAAATGGCCTGGCACATGCTGGGACGTCCTCTTTGTTTTCCGGCCAGTCAGTCTCTGCATAGGATCGGATGGTCGACAGAGCAGGATCCTTGGCGGTTGCCACACGTAGTTCCTCGAGGCGACGCTCAGAAGCTGGAACAAGGGCAATGACGTTAACATTGAAGCGCTCGGTTTCTTCCGTCAATAACGCCTTGCTTGGAAAACGAGAGAGCGCATCAGCCAAAAACAGCTCTTTTCCTGGCTTGTACAGTAGATTAATGGCGTATCGCTGCAATGTCAGTCGCATTCGTTGCAGTCTAAGTGGGCACTGGTGAAGTGGTTTACTGAAAATTGGCACCAACGGACGATGGTCGGTTTCCACCGTAACCTCAGATTGGCCGAAAATATAGTCGTGAAATTTTTTGCAGCCATGCACAATCGCCAGAGCTTCCTTTTCAATCTGCGCGTACCGCGTCTGAGCATCGCTGAGCTATCTAGACGAGAAAGCGATAGGGCGGCCGTCTTGTATCAGAACGGCGCCAACGCCCATGTGGCTGGCGTCAACAGAGAGGGTGACTGGCTTTTTCGGATCGAAGTAAGCAAGCACTGGCGCTGTTACTAAGGCTTGGCGCAGCTCATTGAAGCTGCATTGCTCTTTTTCTGTCCAGACCCAGGCAATATCTTTGCGCAGCAATGTTCTAAGTGGTGCGGTGAGTACAGACATTCGAGGAATGAAGCGCTGCACGTAATTCATCGCTCCGAGGAAGACTTTCAATTCCTTACTGTTACTTGGCGCTGGCATGTCCAAAATGGCTTGGACGCGATCGGGTCCCAGGCTCAGTCCTTGCGTGGTGAAAACGTGTCCCAAGTAGCGAACTTGCTCCTGCAAAAAGACACATTTCTGCGAGTTCAAACGGAGGTTGTGCTCACGGCAGCGTGCAAGCACCCCGGTCAAGTTGTTGTCATGTTCTTCCTTCGTTGTGCCCCAGACTAATATGTCGTCCATTACAACCGCTACTCCAGACAGGCCCTCCAAGAGGCGGTGCATGGCTGCTTGAAATATTTCCGGGGTGGAAGCAATTCCAAAAGGCATGCGGATAAACCGATAGCGCCCGTAGGGCGTGCTCATTGTGCACAATCTGGAGCTGCTGTCAGAAAGTTTTATTTGCCAGAACCCGGATGTCGCGTCCAAGGTCGAAAAATATTTAGCTCCAGCTAGTCGTTGCGCGACCTCTTCTAGAACAGGCATAGGGTAGTGTTCACGCAGAATAACCTTGTTAAGCTCCGTCGGGTCGAGACAAATTCTTACTTTATCACCTTTAACTACGGCTACCATATAGCTTGACCATTCTGTTGGTTCGGTTACCTTGGTTATGACGTTGTGCTCCTCCATGCGTTGAAGTTCGGCCTTTACTTTTTCTTCAATGGCGACCGGAACCCTTCTGGCTGGCACAACAACACCGACGGCGCCGGGTTTGAGCTTCATTTCGTACTCAAAATTCTTCAGCTGTCCCAATCCTGTGAAAACATCGGTGAAGGGCTGAGCCGCCGGGTAGAGTTGCTGCGTCTCGACGCTATCAACGCGATAAATCAAGCCAAGGCTTTCTGCTGCTGCTCCGCTGAGGGTCACCGGCACGTTTTGCTCTATGACGAAGAAGGTTTCATCGTGCTGTTTATCGTTCACGGATAGCGACAACTTTACTTTAAACTGCGCAGTCGTTTTGTGGCCGAAAAAACTCGTTAACGTGGCTCGGCAGGCTTCACGAGTCTTTCTCGGAAGCGACAAAACATCTTCCTTTGAAATCACACAACAGTTTGCCCCAGTATCAAGTTTGCAGACCATCGGACGGCCTTTAATGGAAACTGTCGCGGTCCACTGGTCGCTAGCGAGTGCGTTCACGGTTAAAGCTTCCAGAAAAAAAGCTGACCTTTCGTCAACATGTAGCTCTCGTATTTCCCTGTGCTTTGCATCTTCGCTGTGCAAGAAGGATGACTGCGAGCATGCTTGGGCGAAATGATTCAATCCTCCGCATTTCTTGCACGCTTTTCCCGTTGCTGGGCAGCGGCTGCCGCGGTGAACTTTGTAGCCACATTTGTTACATGGCTTTGTTACTCTGGCCAACGCATTTACGGCTGCAGTTTCAGCGCCTTCAGTGGTGCCACGTATCTGTCGAAACTGCTCCTCGCCTTGCTCTTGGATGCGACAGATTTCGACTACTCTTTGGTAAGAGGGGTTTTCAGAAATTAACTTCTTGTGCAGTCCCTTGTCCCGGATACCGAGTATGATGCGGCTACGAAGCATGCGCTCTTCTAAGTCTCCAAAATCGCAGTGTTGGGCTAGCGTTCGCAATTCGACAAGCCAGTCATTGAAACTTTCGTCCTCTTTTTGGTCTCGGGAGCCGAAGCAAAACTCGTGGTAAGCGAGGTTCTTCGCGGGCTGGTAGAAGTCTTCAAATTTTTTAATTATAAGGGTTACATCGGTTGTGTCCTCTCCTGGCTCAAACTTGAACGAAGCGAACACTTTTCTAGCCTCTTCCCCAATGGTCACTAAAAGCGTCGCCGCCTGCACTTCTTTTGGTTGTTTGTTCAGCTGAGTTGCCGTGGAAAACAGTTCAAACTCACTTTTCCAGGTCTTCCACCCAAGCCAAGCGTCTCGCGATGTGTCGAGGGGCTTCGGAGGCGGCAGGAGCGTTGTCGGCAATGCAGGCGGTGTCGGCAACGTAGACGCTGTCGTCATGCTGGCTGTTTTCCGCTGCCACCATGTGTACGAGACGATATCATGGGTCGAACAAAGTTTATTGCCTATAGTGACAAGTTTAAGTAGGCCAGGCGGGTGACGTCACGCTTAGGTAGGAGCGACAGCTTGCGCTCGCTATCGCGGCCGTGCCAACTCGGTTACAACTACATCTCCAGTGAGGCATTCAAGTTTTACCTGACACACATATTCGAAAACGACGAATCATGGCAAAAGATCAGGGAAGAGATGATTGCCCGTTTTAATGACTACGACAAGGACTTTCCCATTACCGACCATCTGCATACAACCACACTCGACCATCGCAGTCCACGCTTACTTCTCAAGAAACGTGGCGTTCCACCAGGTTTCTCTTCACGAAAGTCGGCATTCCCAAAGTCGTGGCACCAACATACGACACGAGACGTCGCTCACCCTACTGATGCCTTTCATGCTTCGTCTTGCATACATGGTCCATCACCTGTTTATCTACGACGCAGCTCTTCAAAGGCTCCTAACGGTCACTATTCGTGTCATAAGGACGCCTTGTTCATGGTAGACCAGCTGACACATGGGGAAAATACCAAACAACGCCAAGATGACTGAAAGAGTGAAAATCAGTCTTCACGCATTGGAGCAGCTTACTCCCCATCTCGCAGACTTGGCCCGACTCCTGGTTTTCCATCGCTTGGCTCTTTCGTGACTCACAATGTCCATCTCACATCTAGCACGCTCACAATGGTCGGAATAGAGCTGCGGAGCTCGGACAATGCTACGCCAAGCCCTGGACTTACCACCCAGATTCATGCGCCAGAACAGCTCGCATCGTTAGTTGCACAGAAAGAGGGCCATTCACAACTTAAACCTTACCGAACTACCCCTGTTGCAATGTCGCCGTCCAGTGTGCAGCCACCAGAAACTCGAAACACAGAAGGCTCAGACGCATAGAACTTCGCATGCTACCAGGCGCAAGAACCACTCATAGTGAGCCGCGAAGAAGAAGCCCCTGATGAACTATCTGTGAGCTCTGAATGTTTTTTGTCGCAAGAGTTCATTTCCACGGCACCGTGGACTTGCCAAAATTTGCATTTTAAACCTGGTGATGCGACGTCACATGTGGTACCCTCTTGCAGTGGTCACCAATCCAAGAATCGAACCAATTCAGAAGCAAATCATACATCAAACCTCGTACGCAGTTGTCTTTCAGAAGCGTCCGTAATCAACGACGTCACAGAAGCCTCTGAAGAGCAGGCTAGCAATGATGGCGCACCACCAACCATGCCCGATAAGCAAGAAACCTGTTCACCATGCATCAGCTGTCTACAGGACGCGTCAAACCTCAAAGTAAATGAATGCCCCATTCCGGAAGGCTTGCCACTACAGCCATATCCTGAGCAGCATCAGCAAAGCAAGCATAGCCAAGCGCGCAACCCCATGCGACAACAAAATAGACGGCAACGAAGGCATCGACGAACGCGAAATTCAACGGAAGCACACTCACCAATTGAAGTACAGCGGAAAATAAGATCTCTAACCCAAAAAGTATTCCAAGACGTCAAATTTTCTCGCACAGAGGAAAGTCACCAGAGACGCTCCCTGCGCTTGCAGTTACACAGACCGCAACACCACGGAAAATGCCAACAAAGATGCGGAAGCACTTCTTGCATACCGCCAGCCCGCAGGCATCACGCCGTCACAATCCGTCAAGAAGCACGCATTTTAGAAGCAAAGCGTCTGTCGCAGCCACGACTCAGATTCCAACGCATGAGACATCTGACCTTCCAACGCTACAAGGACTCCCAACCTTGTTCGTTCCTCAATACTAACCAGGTTGTGCCATCATCATTTTTAACGTTGAAGGCATGGTTATGCTCTCCAGAACGCAACAGCCAACCTCGCCCACCTGAGGTCTCCTCGATATCACCGGACTGCCTTTCCTGTGAACATTCTGTGCAAGTGCATGTAACCGCCATGTGGCATGGAACTACTGCATTTTCTGGCATTATTTTTTTAATATAACACTCCATTTGTTTATGTTTTCTAGATTGTAGCTTGCGCATTCTTTCGGGGGGAGGGGGAATCATGTGACGTAAGAAGGTAGCGACGGTTGGTAGAAGCAGAGGAGGAAGAAGTGGAGAATAGAATAAACATGGAGTATGAGCCAGGCCACGTCTCCCATTCATCATAGCGTCACATAACACACACACACACACACACACACACACACACACACACACACACACACACACACACACACACACACACACCACACACACACACACACACACACACACACACACACACACACACACACACACACACACACACACACACACACACACACACACACACACATATATATATATTATATATAAATATAAATGGCTAGAAAAACTGCGTATAAGGAGAAAGAAAGTAAAAAAAGGGGGAGGACTCTTGCTGCTGAATAACGCCTTCGGGCGGCACGCACAGAGAGTGGTGGTGTGCATTGTTAAGGTGTTACCAACATTGATTGATATGTGAGGTTTATCGTCCCAAAACCACCATAAGATTATGAGAGACGCCGTAGTGGA